AACATATGATACATAGCTGTGATTTTGTTCAAACTAATTAGAGTGGTTATTCTTTTGGAAGTATATTAAGGTGAACACAAAATCAAAGATATTAATAGTGCATGTATAGGCTGTAACTTGTGATTTAAGTTTTATTTGATACAGTGATGAAGGCAAGCCTTTGTTAAAATCTACCACATCACTTCAAGTACTGCAAAAGGAACTGTCGTATTTCCATCAGATCCTACAGAGGAAACTTAATTCAGTGATACTAGTAGGTTAAAAATAAGTAAAAACAGAAGAGCTGGGCCAATGTCTGCTTTTAAGAGGGATAAGCATCACGTCACATCTTGTTTCCCTGGGAAGGGCACATGTGTGTGCGTGCAGTCCAGGGGAAAGCTGGCCAGGGGGCAGCAAGCTCAGGCAAGTAGAGGTTAGTATGGGGAATATTTCATTCCTGCTAGGGAAGGGGGGTGCTCACTCATGTGCTTTCCATAAAACCTTCTGTATAAGGCCCAACAGATGATGTAAATCCTATCTGAAGAAAATAAAACACTGAAAAAATGCTAAACAAGACCTATGCAGCTTTATCCATGGATAAGTTTTTTAAATTACCTGTCCTGTGTTATGCTGTTGGTCTCCAAGCATCACACAAGCAACTTGGCTGTAGGGATATGGATACAGAACTGTAAATAATCACAGATGTTCCATCAGAAAAAGATTAATTTCTGTTTAAACAAATGCTTTGCACAGGATGGCAAAAGCTATGCAGCAGTATTTCAGCAGTTTCCAAGACATCAAAACATTCCTCAAGTTCCAGGTTAAAGGGTGAAATCTTGGCCTTAAGATGCTCTTCGACTACTATGGGCCAGCTATGGATGAACCTGACTGTAGCAAATCCTGCTGTGGATTGATAGGGTTCTTCACAGATGATTTCCACATGCATACAACCATCTTAACCAACCAATGAATTACACATTTGGCTTTTTACGTTCCTCCAGTCTCGTGGAAGAGGTTTCAACAGGCAGGTGGGGCACTCGGAGGACCATCTGAGACCAGAACCAGGGCTTGGAGATAAGAAAAGAACACAGCGCTTTCTGTTTGCAATGCTGTTTATTTTAGAAAAGCCCCTTTGATCATCTGAATGAAAAATGTGGGCAGAAAAGTCACAAATGTTATAAAACAAAGTTTATTCTGCAATATTTTGTCATAATGAATTGCATCTCTTTGGTAAAAATAAACTTTATAAACATTTTAATTAACAGAGATTAGCATACAAAAAACTAAACTTCTGTAAATTGTCTTTAAAACGGGTCAAGGACTAAACTGGAGGAAAAAGGGTTAGAATTGGTCACCTACTCGCAAAATTATTCTAAACAAACCCAAGGACATTGCTTATGCTATATTAGAAACAAGCTAACGGGAAAGGTTTGAAAACAACTCTGGTTCATTTGATCAGAAAGCATTCTTACAATTCACTTTTAAATAAATAATAGTTACAATGAACTGGCAATTATAAAATGTTTTATATCACTATATGGCAGTAACGTAATACTTTTAATTATGCACTTTTTAGTTTGAAGAAATGTACATTTATAAAACAGATTTGATAATGGCACTGGCAGTTAGGTGTGAAGAATGTGCTTTAAGATATAATGGCAGGTGCAACATTTAAAATATTCTACCTTTTCAATAAATATTTTGACTACACCATTATTAATGTGTATGAGTGTACTCTGCTTTAACCAAAGTTTGTACTTTCTTTTCAGGATGATGAAAAGTTGCAAACCATTCAACTGTTGGATTTTAAAATGTTTGATGTGACTTTTCTAAAAGCAGGGATTTAACATTGGAATCTGAAAGGCCAATACAGGTTGGTACAGTATTCATGTCAGATCTATCCTGAACACAGCGGCCTCCCTCATACCCAAGCCTCATACACTTCTTCACTGTATTTAAAGAATCGAATGTGGTTCATTAATACTTTTCTTGCCAAAATATATCCAAGTCAACCATTGGTATGAACATTTTACATATGTCACAAAAAAAAAAAAAAAAAAGGAAACAAAACAACCAACCCAAAACCCAACAATCAAAATAACTTTTAATTATACTCCATTTATACTATATACACCAGGGTCTCTAACTGAGGTGGCCAGCATACCCAAACCCAGTGCTAGGTAGGTAGGTGAAAGGCAGGGCAGCTGTCCTCCTGCCACCAAGAGGGGTGCCCCACAACCCAGCTGGCAGCCTTTGCCTGCCAAAACATGCAGGCAGAGCCACAGGACGACGTGGAAGAGGCCAGGGGCACAGATCGGCTGCCTCCTCCCGTGGAAGGAGAGAGGGAAGACAGCAAGGCGTGGAGAGCTTGGCCCTGCCATGCCGCTCTGTGTCGCAGGGAAAGGCTGCAACTGCCTCTCCCCTTCCACAGTTCCAGTTCTCCCAGGCTGAAAGCTGTAAGGATGGGTGCAGCTTTCACTGCTAACTTCTGATTAGTATGGTTTTATTGCTCGTTGCATATGGTAATCAAATGCCTTGTCAGCATCCCAGCCCCATCCCTTCAGAAATGCTGAAGTCACTATCACCAACTTCAGGGTTAACAGCGGCACACTCCTACTAAGTATTAACCTTACTCAAACTTTATCTGAGGAAAAAAAATGAATTTGGAACCAAACCAAACCACAGAGCCAGCTATGACAGCAGTTTCCAGAATACTTGGACCTTGATCCAGCTTTCACTGGAAGCTACAGAAAGGCTGCAACCACCTCCAAAGCAGGAGCCAGGCAGCACCCCTCTTCAACAGCGTGCAACCAAAATCATGGCACTGAGCAGTCCCAGACTGCTCACAACAGTCAAGTGTGGCCGAATCCTCACTTTCACACTGGCACAAACTCTGCCCTCTGCAGTGTTCCATCGAGGTACAAAAGCAACCTGTGAGCAAAAAGCAGTTCCAGCAAGCATTCACATCTCCACATCCCAAAATCCTAAGGATCACTGCGTGGGTACCAAATTTGCCTTTAAGGAGGGAGTTTTACCCTGACTGTCCATCAGTAGCACACCCAATACAGAACTAAGTGGCTAATGCACCACTTGTGGCATCCAGAAGACATACACCTGCACACGTTGCCCTGTTACAGCTGTATGCCAACAGATGTTCATATAAAGCATGTGCAGCATGAGCATTTTTCTTCCCTTTCAAGAAATAAACCATTTTTAAAACTGAATTGGGGAAAAAAAAAAAAAAAAAAAACAAAGACAAATCAAACCACTTTCCCCCCCCCCAGTGTTTGTGCTTTAAACCAAAACCAAAACCAAAACCAAAACCATTGGCTTTAAATTCCAAAATGCAAATAACCTCAAAAATTTCAGGTCTGATCCAACAGCCATTGTGTCAGTGGGAGCACCACCGTTGTCTTCAAGAGGCACTGGAACAGGCCCTCAGAGCAACAGACCTTCAGCAGCATGGCTGTGTTCATATTTAAAGTAGACAGTTTATGGCAGTATTCATGAAAAGACTAAAAAATAAGAAAAAGAAAACCCAAACAACAACAATAAACGCCACACAGATCTAAGAAAGGCCTCCAAATAGCCAGAAAGATACCCCATTAGGGAAAAACTACATTTTTGGCTGAATCCAGCACTGTTTTCAACAACCAAAACAGTGGACACTGGCTTCCTAGGTGGCTCTGCTCCTAATTTTTTACCAGCTTGCCAATGGTTTCATGTGTTAGTGAGAATGGTTATGGCACATCATGCTAACTTTCAGAAAAAGGGAAGATGACCTTTGATAGTTGTATACAATTCTGCAACATACTTAAGGCATCCTTATACATACAGTACTGTTAAAACCCACTCCCAACAAAACTACTTACCCATTTTGAACAGAAAATTAAAAACAAACCCAAAAAAACAGCCCTCAACTATAGGAAGATGTAAGGAATCACCACAGATTTAAAAAAAAAAAAAAAAAAAAAAAAAAGGAAAGTTGTTTACCATGCCACTAAAACATTTTTGGCTGAAGGATGTCTGGGAACTAGACAGATTCTCTTATTGCAAAAATGAATTGTGAAGGAATTTCTTCCCAAAATAGAGATCCTCCTGAGCTATGATGTGGATCCAAAGGGTAAAGCACAGCCTTGCCTGTTAGATGCCCCAGAGGTGGCAGGAGGCTGACAGGGTTCACACAGCACAAGGCACAGTGAGTGATTGTGGAAACAGAGGTATGGGCAGCCCATGTGACAAGAAACAACAAGCACTTGGGGGAAGGGGCAAAACTCCAAAAGCAATTCAGGGTTCCCCAATCCAAAAGGAAGCTGTTCTATTTTGTAGGGGTAAGATTTTCCCTTTTCAGCAGCTGTCCACTACTGAGCTACCTAAAACCTCCACCTTGTCACCAGCATCAACTGGTGAGTTCCGCCTTCCTTCCAAATAAGTATAGGGGAACAGAACAGAAGATGTTACAGGACTATGCAACTACTACGTGTTAAACAGTGGTGGCAACAGGAGAACAACATCAAGCTTGGCAAGTGGCAGCTTTCACTGTTGGCTACATCCTAGGTGCACGTATGCATGCATGCATCTGCATGAAGAGGACATGCACCCTGCAGAAAAGACAGTTTGTCTTAAGATGAAAAAAACACCCTGTTTTCCTTCAGGAATCTGACCTGCACACAGCAGATTTGCAGAAAGGAGGAGAAAAAAAAAAAGAAACCCATGCATGGTACCCACCTCAGCTACCCCTCATCCCCACTCTTGCAGGGAGTACTCAGCATCTGGCTGAAGGCAGCTCCTGGAGCACTGCGATTTTCAGCTGCTGTCAGATGGGCTGAAAGCTGCAGCCGATTGGAGTTGCTCCACCAGGACCCATCTCAGAAGAGTGGAGAGGATGGGTAGGAGGAGGCAACTAAAGCCAAGACCTTTTTTCCCCTCCCTTCTTTCTTTTTTTCTCCTGTTTTTTAATCCTTTACATGGAAGTCAGAGCCCTTAGACAAAGCAAAATACACCTCTGCAGATGGGGCCAGCAGAGAAGTAAGTATGACCCACAATGTGCATCCAAACAAACATATCTCTGGAAAAAAAATAAAATCAACTTTTACAAAGAAAAGAAAAAGTGATCATTAAGAAGTATGCTTTCAGGTTTTCACAATTCATGCATCTCTTCTAATCTGAGAAGATTAAATATCTTTTTAATTATTTTTAGGCAGTGATTTAAAAATAAATGGCTAAATTATAGTTAGCGCCAAAAATAAAAAAGTAGTGAGTCCTCTTATGGCTTTGATCTCCCTTGTGAAGGGTAAAAGTAGAAGAGTATTGCCACAATTAAAAAAAATATATGTATATATTCAACACTGACAAACATACTATTTTTTCCTTTGCTTGTGACAGTGGGTCTTTGCAGTACTTATTAAGGAACTCAAGCACGTTTGGATGCCAGCAAGGTGGAGCAGAGACCCCGCTGCCTCTTTCAACTCTTCATCAATTTCTTGACACAACTCCTCGAGTGCTTTGTTGCTAGGCTGACTTTCCTCAGAGGTATCTACACAAGGTTGTGATGCATAGCCACTGTCTCCAAGAGGGTCATCTTCATAGTCAACGTCTGTATCCACTTCACTGTGAAATCCTTCGCTGCAGTCGCTTCCATCATGGCTGGTCTTGGAGATAAATTCATAAACCTCGTCAAGAGAGGACAAGGAAGACATGCTGGACCGAGATGCACAGCGCTGGGAGCCCATGCTGCTGGCACTGTAGTTGTGATCCTCTTTTGGATCAATATTGGTGGCCCCCGAATCGTTTTCCTGCAAATTTATGGAACTGGAAGGACTGAATGCGCTGCCGTAACTCCTCTTCTTAGGTGTCTTCAGAGGCTGAGGTTTCTCACCTGTTAAAAACAAGATTCACCAGTAAGCTGATAGGCCAGTGAGATCACCTGCAGAATGAGCACACTATGGCTGGCTGACTGCAAAGCAAGCTGAACGTGAGCATTCCCAGGGGACAGCGGTCTTCAGCTAATCATGACTAAGAACTGACACAGTACTAAGAAACTCTCTTCTTACCATCTAGCACAAAGAGGGCAAGGGAAGAAACTTGCAGATAAAACAGAATTAACTGGGGAAGGAAAAGGTGGTTCTGCAAAACTCTGTAACGCTAGCAGAAAGAATAATCAAACCAGAATTGCTTCCTGACTGCTCTTAATATTTGGAAAGTAAACCATACTCGTTTCCTGAAACTTTAAAAAGAAAGCCTTTAGCTACTGGGTAGAGAAGAAGAGAATAAAATGGCTTATGCTTACAGTCCAGCATCCCTTGTTGAATGGAAGTATTTAACAGCATCATCGCAGTAGCAGCATCAATATCAGATTCTGTGAAGGAGAAGCAGTAAAATGTCAGATCTCAGGTAAGCCTGACAAAATGAGGTCCTTAAAAATATGAAGAATATATATCTGCACATATTGGCCGATAATAAAGAGTGGGGTGAGGTGGGGGATGTACAAATTCAGACAGAACATGACTCTTATACAGTGCCATATGGTTATAGGAGAGCCTCATTTCTTAACCATGATATTCAAAAGCTGAATTCTCACACTGCACTTACTGAAGTTGAAGCCAAGAATCGGCAACATTAATTAGACATTCGTATGAGGATCCTGCTGTTGTACTTAGCAGCAAGTGGCTTTTGTTTGTACCAGTTGAGGGAGAAAAATTACACATATGGCACAGCAAAGCACCTCAGAAACTTCAGACCTTGGTTATGTGAACATGCAAGGCTGAGAACGAACGTGCCCGTTAACGTGGCACTAATTCAGCACACAACTCTCCTCCAGCAGTATTTTTCTCACTAACAAGTCAAATGGAAGAAATCAAGAAGACAAGGAGGGAAAGGGCACTGAACTGCTCCATCTAGGAAGCATGGGGATCTAAATAATAAATAGGCACTTAAAAAGGTTTAGGTGAACTGTGGTGCTTTTAGCTATGTTGACAAGTGCTGCTGTAAAACACCATCCTCTGCTAACCAGAGTGAAGTGCTTACATCTTAAAAAGGGCACCCTGAGGATATTATGGCCATGAGTGCCATTTCTAACCAGAATCTGGTGAAAACAAAAAGAAACAAGCATGCCTTTCCCCACTCATTTCAGGACACACTCATGCACTTAAAAAAAAAAAAAAAAAAGCAAGTCCAAGGTCTTCTTTCACTCACTTCAGCTGTGGATGATCAATACTCCTTATACAGGAGACAAGTACATAAGAAATCTATATGATGGACTAACCAGGCAAAAGAGGAGCAAAGAGACAGAGGGCTCTCACAAAAGCCTTGCTGTCTCAAGAGCAAAAGACCACATCTGAGGTGTGTGTATGTATGTACGTACACATGAGTGGTAAGTGGAGCTGGAAGATCCTGGCAGTGGGGAGAAAAGGCTTCCCCACTGTACTGCTGAACTGCAGCTGGGGTGGGAACTAATGAAGTGAAACATCAGCTATGTCATTTTTGATGGCATTTTTCTTCCCCCATTACTATATGCATTAACTATAACACTGAATTTGAGAGGAGTGTTAGCACTGGGAGGAGGACTGCAGAATTTTCAGTTTGGCTTCCTCTTCCTCCTCTTATCTAATTGTCGCTACCTGCATCCCTGGTCAAGGAGAAATTTGAAGAACGTGATACCTTGGGATTGTTGTACCAACATGGGAAGGGCACTCAGCTGCTGTTTCCAACACAGGTTATAAAACATACACATTCCTCCCTTGTTTTCACTGTCTCTCATTTTAAAACCAGCATGCTTTAAGGTCTATCTCATTGCACTCGTGAGATTATTTTTATTTTTCTTCTGTTCTGTCTTTCTTTGGCAGCAATACAGACCCTGAATTTACAGGGTCTGAAGTCATATGTGTCCAACCGACAAAAATAAATAGAAAAAAAAAGCCTGAGGAGTTGCTTTCCTCCACCATCATAATCAGAAAGTGAAATACTCTCATTCCTTACTTGTTACCACAGATATTTTATTTCAACATCTAATGCTGGTATGTAAGCACCACCTCATTAAAATGACAATCTGTTGGAGGCATTAATGTAACACAGAATTGCAACCTGCAAAAAGCCTTTCTGCACCTTAGCACATCCAAAGAATTAGCTTCTTAGCAGTACTCTGTGTCACCAGTAATGTGCTTTGGTTTCACTGGTGCTGGCTCTCCTCGATAGAGCAGTATTTCCCAAATTCCTGTTTCCCTAACAGAATGAGGAAGCACCTTATTACAAGGAATTATTTCATCTGCACAACAGCTGCCCTGTGTGACCTCAGGAACACTAATGGCCTGCCTCTAATGCCAGGGAGATGCTGAACAGGCTCATCGAGATGCAAAATTAAGTGAGAGCAGATATATGGCATTATTCAGGCACCTTCAGTGTAGCAAATTGGAATAGTTAACATCAGGCTGGCAATCTCCAAACCTGTCACAGAACACACCAGCAAAATCACTAAGAGGATGGGGATTTCTTGTATTTAATTAACAAGCCCAGAGAATCCCAGATCTAGCAGCCCTGCAGCAGCCAGCCAGCCAAGGATCCTTCCTTGCCACCCGGGTACCACCATAAAACCTCTGTCTGGATAGATGGAACTGATCATCTGTGGACCAGGCAGCTGCTTGCTTGCTAAAAAAACTTGGCTTTCTGCCTAAGCAATGTTTCTGGTTTGTGGCTGAAAACTAAAAGCAACCTTCTCACCTCAAAGCCTAACAATGCTAGCAAAAACAGAGAGCTGGATGCCTGCTATGCTGCTCAGGTCCTACTTTGTCACTGGCCTTTCGGTATCCTTTCGAAAGAGCTTTTAACAACACTCCTCTACAGCAAATTAACATGTGCTCACTTTTTCTTGGAATCAACCCTTTAAAAATTGAGCATAGTTCACTTTTGAAAAAAAATTATTACTATTTTTGATGAGGACAAACCTTCAATGTATTAAGCTTCAGTAATGAGGTGCAAGACCTGTGCTCAACATGCTTCTCTAGGAGAAATGCTGCAGCAGCCAGCATCCTGTCTAGCCATCTTCATGTACCAAGGCACACTAAAACATTTTAAGATGAAGAAAACTTTTTTTTAAAGTACATATGGAGAAAATCAAGTAACCATCTTCTGCTCAAAACCTGTTACTACTTCTATTTGCATTTGACTGTTGATGAAAAACAGATTTCCATATTAAATTAACATTAAAAAAAAAAAATATTTAAATCTGAATCTGGCTGGTTGTTTTTTTCTCATGGAAAGCAAAAACAGAAATCCCAAGGACAGAACTATGGCCAAGCCCTTGTTACTCTAACACTTGTTGAAACCTGGAAGGGTCGGCAGATCCCCGTGGGCCAAGGGAAGGGACAGCAGAACGACAAGCAATGCTGCACTTGAGCAGCGACTCCCTGAAAATAAACAGCAATGCCCCACATGCCCCTACCACAACCCCACCTTCTTCCCCAGTAGCAATACCACTTTGGGGTTTTCTGCACTAAAGAAGCCAAGAGTAGCTAGGCCAGCATGCCCTGCTCAGCTCGCATGCTGCTGCTGGTGCCCAGCCCACCCCTCTGGCAGGTCTGCAAGTGCTGAAGAGCTGCCCTCCCAGTGGTGCCACCCGCTGCAGGGACAACCAGGAGGGATGGGCACCTCCTGAAACGTCACCTGCAGACAGCTACGTTTAACGTGCTAGACAGGGAAGTGTGTTGTGCCACTGAGTTCCTGACATGGCCAGAAGAGATTACTCATCCACAGTAACAGTCCAAGCATAGCTTGGTCTGATCCAATCTTCATTACTAGTACAACAAACACACAGGGATATAAAACATAGGGAGGGGAACAGAACTGCAGCCTACAGGATCAAGACCTGCATGTGGGGTCCACATATTAAACCCAACCTATTTCTGGTCTCCCAGGAATTAACAAACATTTTTCGCAATCTTTAAGGTGACACTTTAAACTAAACAGTCATCATAAGGCTATTCTTTTAATGGGGTTAATATTCAGAACTCAGGCCTTCCTGCATAACTGCACTTGCAATAACATCAGCTTGTCCCCAACTTTTTGGGAAGTGAGTGCAAAGTGCCACATAGCTGTGAAATCCTCATCTGAAATATACTCCTTGTTCCATGTTCCCCTGCAAATCCTGTCATGCTCTCCCACCCACCTCTATCAAACAGCCAACTTCAAGGTATTTCTGCCACCACAGCCCACAAGTTTTATACTTTCAAATTTGCTGCCATTTGTTCTCAGTTCTTGGTGACCAATAAAACTATTGTATATATATGTAGCTTTCAGATTTGTTTTCTACTGAACTATGCAGTCTTTAAGCAGATCCTGTTTGGGAGTGATGTGTCTGCTAAATACCTTGCTGGCAGAACAAGAGACCCCTATTACCTCTTGACATTCATCTTACGGATTTAATACACAATAGGCTAATACAATAAGCATGCATCCTACTACATCAGATTTTTTTCATAGTCTAGAAGACCCTCCAGAGCAGATCCTTACACAACATCAGCTGGGATTCAATACATGCTTACAATTAAAATCGGGGAGGCAGAGCAATGGAAACTGAAATGTTTACCTTTGAGAGATCGGCCGTGATTCTGCTGAAGGACTGAAGACAGGTAGTGAGGGGATGCTGACCTACTGAAAAGAAAGTCAACAGGTCAAAGCCAAGCCCTAATCATCCAAATGATTTGTAAAAAGTACAGTAGGCACAATACTATGATCATAGAAAGGTAAAAACAAAACCAACCCTCTCACCAGAGTTTGGTGGGCAAGCAGTTTCTGTTGCCCTCAGTAGAGGGCTTGGCACATTGGTTGATGGTTTACATAGTACTAAAAGCCATCATTGGCATTTGGAAAACACCTCCAAACACACAGGCTGAGCAAAACTCCTGTTGGCAAGAGATACTAACTTGTACAGATTTTATGTACCTGCCTAAAGGCTGGATTTTAAACAAAGATATATATGTTTTAGTAAGTAAAACCTACAAGTGAACAACACATTAACTCGTACACAGGGACACTTAGGGCCCAGAAGCAACAGAATAGGTGAAGAATGGTTGTGTCTGCCTGCTCTTTGAAACGGTGGTGGGAGATGAACAAAAACAAAAGGGAGTGTCCTGCAAAGAGCTGGGAAAGAACAACAACAAAAACCCCAAAACAAGATATCTGCTGGTTTTGAAATTATCTGAAGCTGGGCTGGTTTGGTGATGCTGTCTGCTTCTTCGCAGTATCAGACCAGCTCTGCACCTGGCAAAGTACCACTTAATATCTCACAGAATCAAGGGCAAGTTAAAGCTTTCACATGGTTTTCTGCTACACACCCAGTCTTAATTATTCAGTCCATTATAAACATACTAGCAAAAGGTTAGAGAATAGGTACAACAGAAATAGTACACAACGACTGCACGTCTCTCATAGAACGCTGGATGACTTTGACAGGTGATGAGCAGAATTTTCAAGCCCAACCTGTAACAGCAACTTCATGGGATTAATGGGGTGATTTCTATCAGTAAGGTGTGTTTATCTTTTATATTTATCACATTTAGGCAGCTCTATTTTCCAAAATAAGGTGCAGCCACAAATCCCCCCCCCCCCCAAATCACACACAAAAAAATGTTAAGCATGTAGCAGCTTTAATTACTTGTCTAGATCATTAATTAAAACCCACACAATTACTTCAGCTTTTAAAATACCTTTTAAAAACTAAAAACTCCACTCATTAAATTGAATTTTGGAGAAAATACTTTTCACTGGTCACTGCCCAGTGCTGTGGCTGTACACATCTCAACCACCCTGAGACCAGCTACTCTGCACAGCTATTAATAAGGTGGCTGCCTCTATAGGTACACTGTAGAAAGATGTTAAAACATCTTTATCCCTTTGTCTGAACTCAGATCCTTCAGGAATCACACCCACATAGAGCCTTCCCAGAGCAAATTAATGCTTGGGATTAAAACAAGCTATGCACATGCATAAGGAACTCACAAGATGAAGACCTTGGCCATCCCCAGAGCCCATGGATATAATACATGTAGTGTTAGAGAATGAATGTAGGGGCCTTGCACTGACTGGTTGAACAAGCTGTGCAGAACAAAATGCAGCAGTGATGCCAGTCATCTATGATACTACAGATTTCAGTGTAACTAGACACAGATTACCATTTTGGAAAGCTTCTGCCCAAAGTAACAGCTTCAATTTTATTTTAAAATCCTTTTTTTTTGCTGAATGATAGGTATACTCCCAACAAACACACTGCAAAATAATTACAAAAAATAATTTTATATTTATTTTATGTACTAGCCCTCCCACAGAAAAATTCAGACTCTCATAGCTGAATTCTAGCCTAACCCTGTAGGATAAATTTGGACAGTCCTTTCAGCCTCTCTCCAGCTGTACCTCTGGGCTCTTTCTCTCCACACATAAGACAGGACCTTGCAGGCCCTTCCCCAAAATAAGGCCAGAATTTAAAACTAATCCAAGAATTTTTAAATGTGGAAGGAAAAAATAGATCTGTTTTTCTGTGTATGACTGAAATTCATACAAATATTGTTTATTATTAAAGGAAAATAAACCAGCATTCATGAGGGAGAAGTTTAGTATCTTAAAAGGTTGTTTTTATTTTGTTGTCCTTATAAATACAAGCACTGCAAAACCCTTCTATTGAAGTCAGTGGGAATTCTGCCCTGTGGCTTCATTAGGACCAGGACTTCCTTGTAATTGTGATTGTTGGCAAGTGTGACCAGTCCTTCAGCCACAGAAAAAAAATGTTACTGAAAACAACAGCTTCAAACTGAAGTCCTGATCTTGCAAGTACTTCAGCATTCATATAAAATGTCTCCTGCAAGTAAATCCAGCATGTTGTATTTATACAAGCTAGGTAAATTACACTCCAACGCCTGGGGCTAATCTTGAAGACTCTGGAGATATTAAAAACTTAACCAGTCAAGGCTCTGAAAAAATCTGTCCTAGGCTGAGTCTGCCTTGACCTTCTGTGCCTCCAGTAGCACAGGCAATGTCTAGAGATCCCTTCCTATCTGGAGGTTAACAAAGCATTCAAGGACAAAACCTTCACTCTAGTTGTAGTGAAAACCAGAAGTCTATGCCCTTACTTTACAGTAGTTTCAATAATCTTCTTTCCCAAAAAACAAAGTCTGCCAATACCACCAGCCATCTCATACCTCCCAGTTTGACTATTTCTTAATAGCTAAACATTTCAGGGTTATTTTAGTAATGTTCCTGTTCCAGCAGAAAGCTGGAAAACAGGACACTTCTGTCTGGCTCGTTCAAACCCAAGATGACCCTTCACAGCTCAAGATGACTGGCAGGTCAGAGACCACTGTTACATCTTGTAAGGTTACAAGCCCAACTGGAAAAGCTCATGCCACACAAATCTTCAGTTGCTGCCAGACAGCTGAGGCTTGCATAGGGGTGCCAGCTCCCAGGGTCGATGTCCTGCTGGACACTTGGAAGCATCTGCTTGACGTTATCAGTTTTACATCCTGCTCCAGTAAGCCCAGTTCTTCCTGTTTAAGGAAACTCCTTGCAGTAAGGTTAAGGCATAGGGCGACTTACAGAGACCTTAATCATCTCTTATCTCACCCAAATTCTTTGCTGAACTAGATAAACTGGCCACATGCCTACCTAAGAACTGAGCTCACCGACAGCAATGTGTTCACCTCTGCTTTGTCCTCCTCTTCCTCTCCATCCCACCTCTATAGGCTGACCCAGCTGCCTTTCCTCTTCCTCTACTGAGAGTGCATGACGTTGACTTCAAATTCTCCCAAATCTACTGCCTAATCTTAAAACATCTCAGATGAGGAAGCCTTGATTTCAGAAGTCTTGCATGCTCCACCTCAGAGGATGTTTATGATAAAGGCTGTTCCTCTCATCCCGGCTCCAAAACACTTTACAGCCTTGGAGAAAAAATGCCCCTGTCTTAGACCAGCCTCTCTAAGCACTTCAGACTGCAGAAAAGTTGTTTTTGACAACAGCATAGAATATATACATTTTATATGCATATGAGTGACTTACAGGAGAAGACAAATCTCCTTTACCAGGCACCCTCGACTGGTCCTAGTGAACTGTGCTTGAAGGAGGATTTTGCTCCAGTTCCTGGGACTGCTTGCCCTCCAGAGAAATGAGGTTTACCAGTAAGCACCTAGCACAGCCCCAGCCTTCTTCCTTTAAACTCTCCCACAGCTGCAAAGATGACTTGGACCCGAATCCCAGATGTGCTGTCTGGGAAGCCTAAGCTCACGAGCTCACTGCACCTCCCCGCTCACCTGGCCGGCCCCACCTCAGCCCCATCAACCTCTCCCCTCGGGTGGCACCGGTAACAACACCTCACCACCTCACCACCTGCGGGGGCGCCTCCTCTGCTGGGTGGAGGCAGGTAACTGGGGGAGGAAATTCACCTACCTTGGTGGCGACGCCGGCGGAGTATAAAACGCAAGTGCTGAGGGAAAAGGCTGCTTCTTCAGTGCTTGGACAAGGTTAGGTTTATATTCTGGGTCAACACACCATAACGAACCTTTTCCATTCACCTGCAAGAAAGAAGTACTGCAAATTAGGGAATCCAGGGACCAGGCTGTTACAGTCATTCCGAACTTAATATTCCCAAGATGCAGCACAGCACAAGGACGTGGGCATTATGTACAGATGATATACATCACCCCAGGCAGCTCCACCACCTGTATGGAAAACAGACACTCCCAAATTGAGCATATGGTCTCAGAGACCCTCGTTATACAGTGTGGAAGCACCCACATCACAGCTTGGGATAGCATCTCCAAAGCCCCTTCTCTGTAGCCCCGTTTCCATTCACATTTGGCCACTGTAAACCTTTTTAACACTTGGTAAATACTGCTGTGAGTTTAAGGATCTGTCCAGACATCAGTGAATTGATCAGCAGTCTTTTGATTAACAGGTTTCCAAGTGAGAAACCAAAGGACCTTTCCCTTCACTTTGATACAGCCACGTATTCATTCAACTTTACACTGTCCTGTAACAGCATCTTGCTGGATACCCAGCTACACAATGGGTTAGGGTTCCCACTTTTTCAACACCTGAAAACTTAATCAATATATTTTTGATGTACCTAATAATGTGAGCGCCACTGTCACTCTTGATATTAAATTTATGTTGAAAGTTAAGCAAGGTAAAGCCCTGCCTGATCCTCCAAAGGGTTCTTCAGGTATTTATGATATAACAAAAAAAAAAAAAAATCTGGTTATCTGGTTTTTAAGCCTGCCAGTTCTTGCAACATAAAGAGGAAAATTAACCAGGAAAAGCTAAAACAATTCTATAATCACTGACCTGACAAATCAGCTAACAGTTCTAAAGGTAGCAGCACCAGGGTATTTTTTGGGAAACAGGTGTTACAGGACTGGTCATGCACATGGGAGAAGGATGGGGCAGCTCTACACCTGAACAGGAAGATCCTTTGAGAACATTTTTTTGGGAAATGTCTCAAAGCACAAACCCAAGCTTCGAGGAGCACTTCCTGCAAGCCCACAGAAGCCAGCTGACCACCTCCTGCCAATATCAAAGGAGTATTAATACCATTTTATGGATGGACACCCCATGACTTAAGACTGAGATGGACCCACAAAGCATAGAAGTCTGTCATCCTATTTAAGTCATGGGGCTTTTCCTGAAAAGAGGAAATACTTGGCTATCAACAGTGAAAACCTGATTCAAGGAGAGCTCCAACTGAGAGAGACTGCTCTGTAATTTTAGTTGAAGCCACTGCCTTTCATAGAAATCTCTGAGCTGGAGAATCTCTCAGAGTTGTTCAGATTGTTTTATTTTTTTTTATTTTACCTGAATTTTTCTTATACTCATCTTTCCATGCTAAAACTGTGCACAGCCTGTAAGACACCAATTAAGAAGCTTACCTTTAATTAAACAGCCATGGTGACTGGCAGGATCATTTAGACAACCAAGTACTAAAAGGGGGTATCCTCACAACTGGCTCAACCCTTCCTCTCAATGTCAGACTAACACCCTGATCCCTTTCCTGCACCTCTCCCAGACTCATGATCTTTCCCCAGCATCCCAACCATGCCCAACTCTGGCTTTTTTTCCCCCCCTTCCATAGCTTTGAGGCTGTTGCCTTCAAGGAACAGCAGGAACTCCCCTGACCAGCAAAGCACTGTTGTACACTGTTTTATCTGCTACTTTAGACAAGCACTTCCACTTGACACCTAATTCAGTTCAGTTGGGACCTGCAGCCAGAATGGGGTTACTTTCCCTCTTTCATCTTCCTAGCTACCAGGTTGCTGCCCTGAGGTGGTAACACAAGGATTTTGAGTGGGTATTACAACAAGCTGAACCAGCACACACCCTGAAGCCATAAAGACACTCAATCCAATGAAAGAGGCAATAAACAAGGTGATTACTTTGGGTAGCTAGATTGGGTTAGGTGCAATGTGGAACTCTACTTCCACCCATCATTACTGGCACTAAATGCAGACACGGAGCAAAAGCAGCGATGCCCTTTGGGCTGCCCCTGTGCACGGCTTCACTCACATCTGCTGCTCAGCAAAGACAGAGTGGGGAACCTGCACAGGGCTGAAGTTGGTGTCACACTTCGGGGAAAGCCATGCACAACTGGAGTTGGAAATGCCACAGAACACAGATACATCCAGCTTCAAAACAAACCAGTGGTCTAACCACAGCAAAGACCAAGTCTTAGACAATCTAAAATGCTAAACTGCCTTTGGTGGTTACCATTTCACATCAACAGTGGGGCAACTGTTCATGTGCTAGGTGAAATGTAGGTGTAACTTTTATTTAACATCTAGGGGAACGTCCTTCTAGATTCAGCATAGAGCAGCCACCTGATTTATTTTTTGGTCTGTCACCTTTTCAGCATCTTTTTAACATTTTTAATTTGACTTGCAGAATTTTACCTTGGCAAATAAAGGAAGGAAAGTAAATCCTACATTTTGAAGCATTAAGGCTATTTTGTGCTACAAAAACCCCTCCATGAGCTTCAGCCCTGGGCAGCAGCAGCCCCAGCTCCAGTGGGTGTGGGCAGTTCTCACTGAAGCTTCCATGGGGGCCAGGTGAACACCTGGCAAACACCGTGTCTGTGCATGGAGGTGTATCCTACATTCACCAAGAGGTTTACCAGGTAACAGACATCTCTCTCCTATCTCTACAGGCTTATAGATTGGACCTCCTCTCTGCCCAAATGTTTGAACAGCCACACAGATTGTTCACCACCATATCCTGTCAAAAAAAATACAGACAAACCCTAAATGAAGAAAAAAAACCCTAAAGCACGTATCTAGCAAGAAAAAGAAGAAAGGGAGATGTGTTGAAGATATTCAAGCCCCATCGCCCTCGACCTCCAGAGCAAACAGTGGCAGAGCAAACAGCCACGGGAGCAGTGGCATGCCAAATTGATGCCTGATGCAGATGCTGCTCCTGCCTCCTCACACCTTTTCTCCTCGGTGATAACAATTAATAAAAAATACCCAAACCCACAACTGTAAAAACAAGTCTAGCAAATAGCAGGGAGACTCTTCAGGGCTTCCAGCTCCAAACTGCTTTTCACTTCAGGTCGTGTGCTGTCTATCAGACACTGTTCCCTCAAAACAGGCAATTTCCCCCTGGAAACCCCTCTCTCCCTAACCCCAAGGCTGTATTTATATTTTAGCAGAGATGTGACAGACATACATCCTGTTTCCATGGCATGAGAAGTTCCTCTTCTTGACTGCACTGCTGGCTCATAAGGCATGTCAAGGAAGTTACTCTCCCTTCAGTGTCCTTCAACTTATTAAAATAAAACTGTAGCATACAGTATTTTTTGGTGATCCAAGCAAGAACAGCTTTCCCCCAGTCTCTGTTGAGTGCCGTCCTAGACCCTGGAATGTCCAAAGTCTGCTGCAGCAGGCAGGGCAAAGGTATTTAGCCATCTGAGAGGAACACAGATGCAAACAGATGGACCCTTCATGTCTGCAACACCACCTGGCACAGGGCAGTGGAAACACCTCTGTGGAGTAAGAAAGTTGGTGCAGAGGAGTCACCCATATGTGTCATGGACGTTTTACTCAGATCCGCTCCAGCAGGGTCTTGTGGACAATGTCCAGGAGCAACCAGGGCCCAGACAGCACACTCCTGCTGCACCTCTTCCAGGTTAGCACCATCTGAAATGGATCCAGTTCATGTGTCCCAAAACTGCCCTGCAATGCCAGCTCACATGGGGGAAGTGGGGGAAAACTGAGAGATTCACTTCACAGTGTGCTCCAAGGCCTAACCAAATTATCAGCATCACGGTAAAAAAAGAGGACAGACTCTGCTTTTGCTGCTGGACCCCCAAGAGATGATTTCCTAGCTGACAACCAGCAGCAATAGCCTGGGAGGTGTCAGAAACCAGCCTGCCCCAGGATGCAGGGGCACAGACCAGACTCTCCTGTCAGACATTTAAAGTCTTCCAACACAAGAGCTCAGATTCATTTGAAAGGCTTTAAAACCCTTCTTACTCTGATGTTACAAAATAAACCATGCTCCTCTGATGCAACGTGCCACTCTGCTTCCACAGGCATTTGGGATAGAAGAAAGCTGACTATGTGCTCCCTCCGAGACACAATTAAGATGCCATTAACAAAAGAAAAATGGAAGGGAATACAAAACTATGTTGCCTTCCCAGAGAAGCACCCAGAGGCATGGCTAGCACAAGGGTACAGGCAACACGGTCAGCAAAATGAGCCTGTAAGCTACAGCAGCTTGCTCCATGAAGTGACACCAGAGGAGCTTATCCAAAGGGGTCTGCAGCATTCCCATCATCTGCCAAATCAGCTCCCGTGGAGTCTGCATGTGCTGCTGTGCACCATGGACTTATTTTGCAGAAAGAATTTGGAGCAGTGCCCTCACCTGGTCCTTTTCTAAGCAGCACAGAGGCTAAGTATTTAACCGCTGTTTGTTGGAAATGGGGAAGTTT